TCTGGAGGGTTATTAAGGCCTATCAACCTCTGGAGGGTTATTAAGGGCTATCAACCTCTGGAGGGTTATTAAGGCCTATCAACCTTTGGAGTGTTATTAAGACCTATCAACCTCTGGAGGGTTATTAAGACCTATCAACCTCTGGAGGGTTACAAAGGCCACCACATAAACCTATTGACCAACCAGCAAGTATACCTTTGCACTGATTATAGTCAAGGACTATGTAAACTTCTCAGTGTATATACAACAAGAAGCAGGGTACACCTCTCAGTGTATATACACCAAGAAGCTGGGTAAACTTCTCAGTGTATATACACCAAGAAGCTGGGTATACCTCTCAGTGTATATACACCAAGAAGCTGGGTATACCTCTCAGTGTATATACACCAAGAAGCAGGGTACACCTCTCAGTGTATATACACCAAGAAGCTGGGTAAACTTCTCAGTGTATATACACCAAGAAGCTGGGTATACCTCTCAGTGTATATACACCAAGAAGCTGGGTATACCTCTCAGTGTATATACACCAAGAAGCAGGGTACACCTCTCAGTGTATATACACCAAGAAGCTGGGTATACCTCTCAGTGTATATACACCAAGAAGCTGGGTATACCTCTCAGTGTATATACACCAAGAAGCTGGGTATACCTCTCAGTGTATATGCACCAAGAAGCTGGGTATACCTCTCAGTGTATATACACCAAGAAGCTGGGTATACCTCTCAGTGTATATACACCAAGAAGCTGGGTATACCTCTCAGTGTATATACACCAAGAAGCTGGGTATACCTCTCAGTGTATATACACCAAGAAGCTGGGTATACCTCTCAGTGTATATACACCAAGAAGCTGGGTATACCTCTCAGTGTATATACACCAAGAAGCTGGGTATACCTCTCAGTGTATATACACCAAGAAGCTGGGTATACCTCTCAGTGTATATACACCAAGAAGCTGGGTAAACTTCTCAGTGTACATACACCAAGAAGCTGGGTATACCTCTCAGTGTATATACACCAAGAAGCTGGGTATACCTCTCAGTGTATATACACCAAGAAGCTGGGTATACCTCTCAGTGTATATACACCAAGAAGCTGGGTATACCTCTCAGTGTATATACACCAAGAAGCTGGGTATACCTCTCAGTGTATATACACCAAGAAGCTGGGTATACCTCTCAGTGTATATACACAAAGAAGCTGGGTATACCTCTCAGTGTATATACACAAAGAAGCTGGGTATACCTCTCAGTGTATATACACCAAGAAGCTGGGTATACCTCTCAGTGTATATACACCAAGAAGCTGGGTATACCTCTCAGTGTATATACACCAAGAAGCTGGGTAAACTTCTCAGTGTACATACACCAAGAAACTGGGTATACCTCTCAGTGTATATACACCAAGAAGCTGGGTATACCTCTCAGTGTATATACACCAAGAAGCTGGGTATACCTCTCAGTGTATATACACCAAGAAGCTGGGTATACCTCTCAGTGTATATACACCAAGAAGCTGGGTATACCTCTCAGTGTATATACACCAAGAAGCTGGGTACACCTCTCAGTGTATATACACCAAGAAGCTGGGTATACCTCTCAGTGTATATACACCAAGAAGCTGGGTATACCTCTCAGTGTATATACACCAAGAAGCTGGGTATACCTCTCAGTGTATATACACCAAGAAGCTGGGTATACCTCTCAGTGTATATACACCAAGAAGCTGGGTATACCTCTCAGTGTATATACACCAAGAAGCTGGGTATACCTCTCAGTGTATATACACCAAGAAGCTGGGTATACCTCTCAGTGTATATGCACCAAGAAGCTGGGTATACCTCTCAGTGTATATACACCAAGAAGCTGGGTATACCTCTCAGTGTATATGCACCAAGAAGCTGGGTATACCTCTCAGTGTATATGCACCAAGAAGCTGGGTATACCTCTCAGTGTATATACACCAAGAAGCTGGGTATACCTCTCAGTGTATATACACCAAGAAGCTGGGTATACCTCTCAGTGTATATACACCAAGAAGCTGGGTATACCTCTCAGTGTATATACACCAAGAAGCTGGGTATACCTCTCAGTGTATATACACCAAGAAGCTGGGTATACCTCTCAGTGTATATACACCAAGAAGCTGGGTATACCTCTCAGTGTATATACACCAAGAAGCTGGGTAAACTTCTCAGTGTACATACACCAAGAAGCTGGGTATACCTCTCAGTGTACATACACCAAGAAGCTGGGTATACCTCTCAGTGTATATACACCAAGAAGCTGGGTATACCTCTCAGTGTATATACACCAAGAAGCTGGGTATACCTCTCAGTGTATATACACCAAGAAGCTGGGTATACCTCTCAGTGTATATACACCAAGAAGCTGGGTACACCTCTCAGTGTATATACACCAAGAAGCTGGGTATACCTCTCAGTGTATATACACCAAGAAGCTGGGTATACCTCTCAGTGTATATACACCAAGAAGCTGGGTATACCTCTCAGTGCATATACACCAAGAAGCTGGGTATACCTCTCAGTGTATATACACCAAGAAGCTGGGTATACCTCTCAGTGTATATACACCAAGAAGCTGGGTATACCTCTCAGTGTATATACACCAAGAAGCTGGGCATACCTCTCAGTGTATATACACCAAGAAGCTGGGCATACCTCTCAGTGTATATACACCAAGAAGCTGGGTACACCTCTCAGTGTATATACACCAAGAAGCTGGGTATACCTCTCAGTGTATATACACCAAGAAGCTGGGTATACCTCTCAGTGTATATACACCAAGAAGCTGGGTATACCTCTCAGTGTATATACACCAAGAAGCTGGGTATACCTCTCAGTGTATTTACACCAAGAAGCTGAGTATACCTCTCAGTGTATATACACCAAGAAGCTGGGTATACCTCTCAGTGTATATACACCAAGAAGCTGGGTATACCTCTCAGTGTATATACACCAAGAAGCTGGGTATACCTCTCAGTGTATATACACCAAGAAGCTGGGTATACCTCTCAGTGTATATACACCAAGAAGCTGGGTATACCTCTCAGTGTATATACACCAAGAAGCTGGGTATACCTCTCAGTGTATATACACCAAGAAGCTGGGTATACCTCTCAGTGTATATACACCAAGAAGCTGGGTATACCTCTCAGTGTATATACACCAAGAAGCTGGGTATACCTCTCAGTGTATATACACCAAGAAGCTGGGTATACCTCTCAGTGTATATACACCAAGAAGCTGGGTATACCTCTCAGTGTATATACACCAAGAAGCTGGGTACACCTCTCAGTGTATATACACCAAGAAGCTGGGTATACCTCTCAGTGTATATACACCAAGAAGCTGGGTACACCTCTCAGTGTATATACACCAAGAAGCTGGGTATACCTCTCAGTGTATATACACCAAGAAGCTGGGTATACCTCTCAGTGTATATACACCAAGAAGCTGGGTATACCTCTCAGTGTATATACACCAAGAAGCTGGGTATACCTCTCAGTGTATATACACCAAGAAGCTGGGTATACCTCTCAGTGTATATACACCAAGAAGCTGGGTATACCTCTCAGTGTATATACACCAAGAAGCTGGGTATACCTCTCAGTGTATATACACCAAGAAGCTGGGTATACCTCTCAGTGTATATACACCAAGAAGCTGGGTATACCTCTCAGTGTATATACACCAAGAAGCTGGGTATACCTCTCAGTGTATATACACCAAGAAGCTGGGTACACCTCTCAGTGTATATACACCAAGAAGCTGGGTATACCTCTCAGTGTATATACACCAAGAAGCTGGGTACACCTCTCAGTGTATATACACCAAGAAGCTGGGTATACCTCTCAGTGTATATACACCAAGAAGCTGAGTATACCTCTCAGTGTATATACACCAAGAAGCTGGGTATACCTCTCAGTGTATATACACCAAGAAGCTGGGTATACCTCTCAGTGTATATACACCAAGAAGCTGGGTATACCTCTCAGTGTATATACACCAAGAAGCTGGGTATACCTCTCAGTGTATATACACCAAGAAGCTGGGTATACCTCTCAGTGTATATACACCAAGAAGCTGGGTATACCTCTCAGTGTATATACACCAAGAAGCTGGGTATACCTCTCAGTGTATATACACCAAGAAGCTGGGTATACCTCTCAGTGTATATACACCAAGAAGCTGGGTATACCTCTCAGTGTATATACACCAAGAAGCTGGGTACACCTCTCAGTGTATATACACCAAGAAGCTGGGTACACCTCTCAGTGTATATACACCAAGCAGCTGGGTATACCTCTCAGTGTATATACACCAAGAAGCTGGGTATACCTCTCAGTGTATATACACCAAGAAGCTGGGTATACCTCTCAGTGTATATACACCAAGAAGCTGGGTATACCTCTCAGTGTATATACACCAAGAAGCTGGGTATACCTCTCAGTGTATATACACCAAGAAGCTGGGTATACCTCTCAGTGTATATACACCAAGAAGCTGGGTATACCTCTCAGTGTATATACACCAAGAAGCTGGGTATACCTCTCAGTGTATATACACCAAGAAGCTGGGTATACCCCTCAGTGTATATACACCAAGAAGCTGGGTACACCTCTCAGTGTATATACACCAAGAAGCTGGGTATACCTCTCAGTGTATATACACCAAGAAGCTGGGTATACCTCTCAGTGTATATACACCAAGAAGCTGGGTATACCTCTCAGTGTATATACACCAAGAAGCTGGGTATACCTCTCAGTGTATATACACCAAGAAGCTGGGTATACCTCTCAGTGTATATACACCAAGAAGCTGGGTATACCTCTCAGTGTATATTCACCAAGAAGCTGGGTATACCTCTCAGTGTATATACACCAAGAAACAGGGTAGACTTATGAAGCAAGAAAGCTCCCAAAACCAGATTTTTCAGTCTTATTCCTGCTGATCTACTTGGGCTGAATTTCCGGCTTAAGGTTTCCCGCACCTCACAAGCCTTCCTGCTCAGAAACTGCGCAGAAACAAGCCTTCCTGCGCAGAAACAAGCCCTCCTGCGCAGAAACAAGCCTTCCTGCGCAGAAACAAGCCTTCCTGCGCAGAAACAAGCCTTCCTGCGCAGAAACAAGCCCTCCTGCGCAGAAACAAGCCCTCCTGCGCAGAAACAAGCCCTCCTGCGCAGAAACAAGCCCTCCTGCGCATTAACAAGCCATCCTGCGCAGAAACAAGCCCTCCTGCGCATTAACAAGCCATCCTGCGCAGAAACAAGCCCTTCTGCGCAGAAACAAGCCCTCCTGCGCAGAAACAAGCCCTCCTGCGCAGAAACAAGCCCTCCTGCGCAGAAACAAGCCCTCCTGCGCAGAAACAAGCCCTCCTGCGCAGATACAAGCCCTCCTGTGCAGAAACAAGCCCTCCTGCGCAGAAACAAGCCTTCCTGCGCAGAAACAAGCCTTCCTGCGCAGAAACAAGCCCTCCTGCGCAGAAACAAGCGTACCTGCACAGTAACATTGCGCAACCTATTTTGTGCCTCAGGTGATTGATAAATAAATACCTCTACTGCGTAATCCATGAAATGGGAGGTGAAGTTAGGTTGGGCGTGTTTTAGGGTCTACCCAGATCTTAACAATAAGACTTTTGCAGAGAAATTAGGTCGGGTTTGATTAGGTTCAGGACTGACATAAAATAAGCGCGTGTGTAAGTTTGTTTTCAGGTCACACCTACACTTTCCTTGCCAGTCAGAAGGTGTGTTTGATGGACAGGTTTGGTTTGTTGTTGTGTGCCCTAAGTCTTCACTGTCAATCACACGAAAAAGTTCTTAGGTTTATACAGGCTTAGTCTAAACCTAGACTAAGGTTTTCATGTGTTCTCTTCGGGAGCTGACTCAAGTAATCAACATCCAGATGAATTCGACTTCATGCATACAGCTGTTCGATGGTCCTCCATTGATCCAGAGGGAAGATGTAAGACCTGGCGGACAGCTAGAAGCCGGAGTCAGGCAACAATCACCTCACCCTATCCTTCGCCGCTCCCTACGATTACGGCGGTCAGGTGAATCGTAGAGTGAAGTTTTTTGGTTTTATAGTGAAAAACGGGCCAAAAAACGGTCAACCTACTCATGAAAAACTCTCCAGACACAAAGCAGAACGCCATGAGGGAAACCAATGTCAAGTGGGCCTTCAAATGCCCACTTGGGGACTATAAGCCCCAAAGAACTTAGTATATAGGCAAGACAACAACGTCTCTTTCCTGGCGATTAACAATGCATAAACAACAGGGCTCCATAAAGGAACATATACTCTCCTCTCACAACCAGACCATCACCAGAGAAATCTTAACAAACAATACAGAAATCATCGATAGATAAAGCGATAGCAAGAGCCTCGACATCTGCGAGGCACTACACATTGCTTCTGGCAGTATGGGTTCGAGTCCCTTCTGGGGTGTGAGTTTTCAGTTGCATATATGCCTGGAGACCGTTCAGGCTTGTTCGCATTTGTGATCCTCACGTGTGCCCCAAAGAATGAGGTGATTTGATAAAATACCATGCCCAAGATTATTAACAGAGTGGCGGCGGGGGATGGAGAATTAGCTTCGGCTACCATCCTATTTTGTCCGGTCGTGTTGGTCGAGTGGTTAAGGGATCCTGTATATCAGATGCATTGCTTCTGGCAGTATGGGTTCGAGTCACTTCTGGGGTGTGAGTTTTCAGTTGCATATATGCCTAGAGACCGTTCAGGCTTGTTCATATATAAATATATATGCGAACAAGCCTGAATGGTCCCCAGGACAATATGCAACTGAATGCTTGTTCGCATTTGTGTTCCTCATGTGTGCCCCAAAGAATGAGGTGATTTGGTAAAATGCTATGCCCAAGATTACTATCCAAGTGCCGGCGGTGGGGTGGTTCAAATAGCTTCGGCTATCACCTCATTATGTCCGGTCGTGATGGTCAAGTGGATTAAGGCGTCTTGTACATACCAGTTGCGTTGCTCCTGGGAGTATGGGTTCGAGTCACTTCTGGGGTGTGAGTTTTCAGTTATATATATATATATATATATATATATATATATATATATATATATATATATATATATATATATATATATATATATATATATATATATATATATATATATATATATATATATATATATATTAGTAGATAAATTCCTGTAGACATATATTATTAAATATGACCGAAAAAGTAAGATTAATAATTCTAACACGAATTTTCTCAATCTTTCGTACATTACGCTTCACTGTTGGAGGTAAATCAAAAATCAATTCTCCAAAATTCATTTTTATTTCTAGTCTGACGCGACATGGGCGCGTTTCGTAAAACTTATTACATTTTCAAAGACTTTAGTTCACAAATACACAACTGAATAGAACTTACGTATCTCCGATTTTATATCTACATTTGAGTGAGGTGGAAGGGGTGATGTGGCATTAACACAAGACAGAACAAAATGTGGTATTAATAGGGTATTAATTTCATCAACACAAGACAGAACAAGGGTATTAATAGGGTATTAATTTCATCAACACAAGACAGAACACAAAACAATGGATATTGAATAGAAGTGTTTGTAGAAAGCCTATTGGTCCATATTTCTTGATGCTTCTATATTGGAGCGGAGTCTTGAGGTGGGTAGAATATAGTTGTGCAATAATTGGCTGTTGATTGCTGGTGTTGACTTCTTGATGTGTAGTGCCTCGCAAACGTCAAGCCGCCTGCTATCGCTGTATCTATCGATGATTTCTGTGTTGTTTACTAGGATTTCTCTGGCGATGGTTTGGTTGTGGGAAGAGATTATATGTTCCTTAATGGAGCCCTGTTGCTTATGCATCGTTAAACGCCTAGAAAGAGATGTTGTTGTCTTGCCTATATACTGGGTTTTTTGGAGCTTACAGTCCCCAAGTGGGCATTTGAAGGCATAGACGACGTTAGTCTCTTTTAAAGCGTTCTGTTTTGTGTCTGGAGAGTTTCTCATGAGTAGGCTGGCCGTTTTTCTGGTTTTATAGTAAATCGTCAGTTGTATCCTCTGATTTTTGTCTGTAGGGATAACGTTTCTATTAACAATATCTTTCAGGACCCTTTCCTCCGTTTTATGAGCTGTGGAAAAGAAGTTCCTGTAAAATAGTCTAATAGGGGGTATAGGTGTTGTGTTAGTTGTCTCTTCAGAGGTTGCATGGCTTTTCACTTTCCTTCTTATGATGTCTTCGACGAAACCATTGGAGAAGCCGTTATTGACTAGGACCTGCCTTACTCTACAGAGTTCTTCGTCGACTTGCTTCCATTCTGAGCTGTGGCTGAGAGCACGGTCGACATATGCGTTAACAACACTCCTCTTGTACCTGTCTGGGCAGTCGCTGTTGGCATTTAGGCACATTCCTATGTTTGTTTCCTTAGTGTAGACTGCAGTGTGGAAACCTCCGCCCTTTTCCATGACTGTTACATCTAGAAAGGGCAGCTTCCCATCCTTTTCCATCTCGTAAGTGAAACGCAGCACGGAACTCTGCTCAAATGCCTCCTTCAGCTCCTGCAGATGTCTGACATCAGGTACCTGTGTAAAAATGTCGTCAACATACCTGCAGTATAAGGCCGGTTTCAAGTTCATGTCGACTAAGACTTTTTGCTCGATGGTACCCATGTAGAAGTTTGCAAACAGGACACCTAGGGGAGAACCCATGGCGACCCCATCTACTTGCTTATACATGTGCCCATCCGGGCTCAAGAAGGGTGCCTCTTTAGTACAAGCTTGGAGTAGTTTCCTCAGAATATTTTCTGGTATGTCAAGAGGAGTACAGGCTGGATCACGATACACTCTGTCGGCTATCATTCCGATTGTCTCGTCCACAGGTACGTTGGTAAACAGCGATTCTACGTCCAACGAGAACAACGATTCTACGTCCAACAATATATATATATATATATATATATATATATATATATATATATATATATATATATATATATATATATATATATATATATATATATATATATATATATATATATATTTATATCAACAATTTACTTGCATAAACGCACAAGTTTTTTGGTAAACCACCACAGACACCCTCCCTGCAATTGACTCGAACCCAGAAAGTTCTGGGTTCCCAGAACCCAGAAAGAAAGTGAAAAAACCCAGAAAGAAAGTGCCGTAACTGGTACGCCTTAATCGACTACACCACTCAGACCTTTCAAAAGGTATGGAAATTTTGGATTATTTCTGCATCAATTTCCATCCCCCGAGGACACCAGAGCAGTGTGCGATCAAAGCTACGTTTTTCATCAAGTAACTGCATTAACAGAGAGAACTCGTGTCTATTCACAAGAATTTACTTGCATAAACTCGCAAGTTTTTTGGCACACTGCTCTGGTGTCCTCGGGGGATGGAAATTGATGCGGAAATAATCCGAAATTTCCATCCCTTTTGAAGTGTCTGAGTGGTGTAGTCGATTAAGGCGTACCAGTTATGGCAGCTGCGCAAACAGTTGTACTTTCTGGGTTCGAGTCAACTGCAGGTAGGGTGTCTATGGTTGTTTATATTATATATATATATATATATATATATATATATATATATATATATATATATATATATATATATATATATATATATATATATATATATATAATATATAATATATATTTATTTATATTTGCTTTTTCATTATCTTTTTTGCTTTTATATCTTATATACAGTATTTGCATATATGCTTTTCATTATCTACTGCGCGCTTGGAACAGGTGGTCATATTTCTATTATATTATTTATTATACATTGTCTTTGAATAACTTATTTTATTTATTTTTCATATACTGTATATTGAAACTTGGTATTGAATCATGTGGAACAAGGAAATGCAATTATTTAATTCAGTTTTATTTTGACAAACACAAGAGGTGTTGATAGTCGCAGCGCTCCACCACTAGTAATTAAGCTTGTCTGTCTGTCTGTCTCTGTCTGTCTGTCTGTCTGTCTCATTACGTTAATCTTTGGTATACAAAATGAGGTTCATTAATACCTGCACAAGACAGTGAAGCAGTGTTGCTAAGACTGCACAAGAAGACATTGTTGCCAGAGAAGCCTTCGTCTCCTATGATGTCACAAAAGAGACGAAGGCTGTCACATAGAACTATGATGTCAAGTAATTCCACTTTCATACAGCACACAACACCCTCTAACTAAATGTCAGTATTGTGTTTCTATTTTGTGTATTCGTTTAGTCAACAAATATAAAGTGTGTATGGATACTCTTTTTAACAATAAACATGTACTATTCTTGGTCTTCGTGTGAATTTACACTAGATACCCATAAATTATCATTAAAAAAAATCATAATTGTTTTTCTAATACCAAACATCACCAAGGTTGAAAACAGCTTGAGTGCGTCTCACTAAAAATATCTTATCTCGTTTTCTTTGGGATCCAAACATGTGGAGCGCTATCTTGGCTGTTGACATGTGAGTCTAGCCTGGGGAATGTACTAGTCATCTTAAGTAAAAACTATGCTATTCTTCATGGTATTCCTATAGTTGCCTTGATAAACTCCCCCCTCATCTACTGTGTACAAAAATATTATTTTATTTGTTAAATATATGACTAGAAGTGTGACTAAAACTAATGGATAAGCTGCTCATATATGTCTCGCTCTCTCTCTCTCTCTCTCTCTCTCTCTCTCTCTCTCTCTCTCTCTCTCTCTCTCTCTCTCTCTCTCTCTCTCTCTCTCTCTCTCTCTCTCTCTCTCTCTCTCTCTCTCTCTCTCTCTCTCTCTCTCTCTCTCTCTCTCTCTCTCTCTCTCTCTCTCTCTCTCTCTCTCTCTCTCTCTCTCTCTCTCTCTCTCTCTCTCTCTCTCTCTCTCTCTCTCTCTCTCTCTCTCTCTCTCTCTCTCTCTCTCTCTCTCTCTCTCTCTCTCTCTCTCTCTCTCTCTCTCTCTCTCTCTCTCTCTCTCTCTCTCTCTCTCTCTCTCTCTCTCTCTCTCTCTCTCTCTCTCTCTCTCTCTCTCTCTCTCTCTCTCTCTCTCTCTCTCTCTCTCTCTCTCTCTCTCTCTCTCTCTCTCTCTCTCTCTCTCTCTCTCTCTCTCTCTCTCTCTCTCTCTCTCTCTCTCTCTCTCTCTCTCTCTCTCTCTCTCTCTCTCTCTCTCTCTCTCTCTCTCTCTCTCTCTCTCTCTCTCTCTCTCTCTCTCTCTCTCTCTCTCTCTCTCTCTCTCTCTCTCTCTCTCTCTCTCTCTCTCTCTCTCTCTCTCTCTCTCTCTCTCTCTCTCTCTCTCTCTCTCTCTCTCTCTCTCTCTCTCTCTCTCTCTCAAACTTATAAGTTAGTAACTCCTTAATGTGGGTTAAATAAATACTAATATTACACAATGGAATGGCGACAGTTGGCATTACAATAGCTGCCATGGCACCTGCTATAAGGAATGTCACAATGACGCCAGGGACACAGTAATGCCATGACGAGTCGACAGTGATCCCAGTCAGATCTGTTAGTGTCTCAAGGAAGCATTGTCTTCAGAAATAGAGAGCAGGGACTTAAATTCCAAGTAAAAAAAATCTCTGGTAAAGTTCTCGTAAAAGGCTTGGAGGTTCAAATGGGCCGTCTACTCTTGTGGCGAGCACCGAGGAACTTTTGAGCATCTGTTGATGCTTCAGTGTCCATAGGTGTCCACAGTTCACCCACGGACACCCAAGCATGCCTCTTGGCAACTACAACCACCTCTGGACGTCCTAAAAATTGATTGGTATGAGCCTGAAGATTTTTCACATATATTTGAAGTGAGGTTTACCGGTAATTGACTTAGAAACGTGTCCAGGTGGTGTCCACATATGCCTAAAGTGTCAGGAGATACCCAGAGGTGTTCATGCCCAGAATCGTACCCAGTTGGCCAGAGTCGTAGAGATGTTAATCAGGAAGATATTAGTTCCTGCTCTTCGTCGTGGGACTTGTGGTGGATGGAGGGGTCAAGTCCTACTGGTGGATGAGGGGAACAAGTCCTACTGGTGGATGAGGGGGGCCAAGTCGTACTGGTGGATGAGGGGGCCAAGTCGTACTGATGGATGCGGGGGCAAAGATCTTCTGGTGGATAAGGGGGCCAAGTCGTACTGGTGGATGAGGGGGGCCAAGTCGTACTGATGGATGCGGGGGCAAAGATCTTCTGGTAGATAAGGGGGCCAAGTCGTACTGGTGGTTGAGGAGGGACAAGTCGTAAAGGTAGATGCAGCAGGGCACATCGTAGAGCTGGTGTAGGTGGGAACGTATGGTTGGCAAAGGGTACTCTTTCCCTCGGGGTGACAGACCTGTCACCTTACTTGCCGACAATTTGGACGCCGGAGATGTACTCGTCAACAACATTTATCAAGAGAAGGTCGTCGAGGCATTGACGAAATACGGAATTGGCATAGCAGTTTTCCCTGTGGGAGAGATGGAATTTGTTAGGCACTCTACATTATAATCAAGTATTAGTGGTAAACAAAAGAAAATGTAAAAAAAATATGATTGAGAAAGACGCATTTATAGAAACTTTGAACTCAATATAAAATATATATGAAACTGAACCAGAGAGAAGTGAACTATATTAACAAAATAAATAATTAACTTAAACTTCAATAATCAAAATAATAATTTTGATAGCAAATTAAAGAATTTCAACTAAAATCCAGAAGTTAAAATAAAATTCAACTAAAATGACAAAGTTAAATTACACGTCCAATGAGAAGAATTATAACAACAGGTCCTCAGTACTTTACCATGAGAATCACTCTTGGAAATTCCGTCCATCCTGTAAGGTATCCATACAGATACCCTCGGACGCCAGAGGTTACCCTCGTATCATGTCGCTTAGGTAAGTGAACAGTTCAAGGTCGAGTCCCAGATTCACTACGCAATATTTAAATGTGGAGTGAGCGAAGCAGTTATCCCTGTTATGTTGCGTAGAAAACGGAGGAAGGAACAGAAAGGGATTCATTAAAAATGTGAAAAAGATCGAGTTGATATGTTAAAAAAAAGTTTAACTAATAAGAAATATAAATTGTAGAGGAATAAAACATAATAATTGTATGTAGATAATTATTTAAATAAATTTAAAATTAAATTAAGAACAGAGTAAAATTATCAATACGAATGAACACAAAAAATAAACGAGAACAAAATTCAATGTTGTTTAATGATAAACTAAAATAATTCTTCAAGATGTACTTGTCTTAGGAAAAATAATTGTCATAATTATAATAACTAAAATATTAATAAAGTTTTAGAGTGTAAATAAGTACCACAGTAATAAAATAAATACGGAAACCAAATTAAATTAAATAAAATATTAAATAAAGTAAAATTTAGAAAAATAAATACCCATAGAGATTGAAATCAGTTTGCCCGAGAAACGACTGAGGATCTGGGAAAGGTATAAGGATGGAGGCGAGGTGCCTAATCCCTGATGAGTATGTCTCGGGTTAGGTATAAGGATTGGGGGTTTACGGGCAATTCATGCCCGTGCCACCTCTTAGGTGGCTTGATCTTTATCAGGATGGGGGCGAGGTACTTAATCTCTGATAGGTATTTAGGGTCCAGGTCGTACAATCGGGTTCGTTCTCGACCCACAATCAAGAATCCCGGGCGGGACAGAAATGGTCGGGCACGTCTCCAATCACCAAATGCCCCTGTCCACCTGGCCGTAAATAGGTACCCAGGAGTTAGTCAGCTTTTACGGGCTATTCATGCCCGTGCCACCTCTTTGGTGGCTTAATCTTCATCAATCAATCTTAGTCAGCATGTTTTGGGGGTTGCATCCTGGGGAGGGTCAGTAATTCGACTCTGGGGAGGGGGGGGGGTGGACCTCTATATAAGCCTAACATTTACTGTATGTATATGACGGGAAACATCTCTCGTCACGCAGGGTGCAGTCGCACCTCCATAGATCTCCAGTATCATCTATTGACACTGGTAATACGGGCTATTCATGCCCGTGCCACCTTTTGGGTGGCTTAATCTTCATCAATCAATCAATCTGTATGTATATTCTGGCTTCCTGTCCCCCGTCACAATGAATTATTATCATTATTAATGAATTATCTGGGGAAGGATGGGGGGGAGAGGCACCTGATCCCCGCTGGTATCCAGTAGTACTAAGGATGAGGGTACTTGAGGGAGGTTGTGACATGCTGGCGAGATAGCCAGCTGATACCTGAGAGAAGTGGTAGGCAGCTCACCTGCAGGTGGTGGCGACCTTGGGCTTGCGGTACAAGTTGTAACAATCATCACACACTAGTTCAAGCTTCCTGAAGATGGCTCTGTCGTATATGCCTTTACAAGCCTGGTCGAACACCTGTCGCTTGTTGACGCTGTGATCTTGGGAGAGGAAGCTGAGAGGTTCCGACGATGACGACCCAGACGACAGGAGTTGTTCCAGTCGCGACGACCCTTCTACGGACCGTCCATGGACACCAGACGAGCCCAGACTCGCCACCACGACCACCACCACCAACGACCACATCTGGAAGAGAGAAGAAGTGAGGGAGATTACTTCACTATATCTGGCAACCCAAACACACTTTCACCACCACCAGCGAACACATTTGGTAGAGAGGCTGAGATAATTAAAGGAAAATATAAAACAGTGATCACTAAACAGGTGTCATGCAGCTGCCAAGGTCTCAGATGTCAAGCTATCCTCAGAAGTCATGCGTCACCGTCTATTGCAGGAATTGGAGGAATGCTTCTTATTAAAGATTTATCAGGCCTTCCTTTCATAGACCCAGTATGTGATGTACTCATCTCCCAGTCCCCGTCTTTCCCCACTACCCGTTTTCTCCATAACTCAGTTGACAATTCTCGCTTTCTCTCTCTCTCTCTCTCTCTCTCTTCTCATTTTAAAGAGGTGGGCATTATTGCTGTCGTCAACATCCCATCAGTCAATATAAGTTTTCTCTGGAGTATTTACTAATCAAAGTTACTTCAATGTCACCATGCTCAATGTTCTCATTATTTAACCCAAATATTAAGTCGATATGTCGAGTCTAATATATAACCTCTACAAGCATTCATGAACGTGGCCGCAACATGAAGGGATGTCCTTGTGCACTGTAACTGGAAATCGCATGTGGGTTAATTACTTAATTAGCACACTAAGAGAGAGAGAGAAGCTCGCTTCATTACTTCTAGGACCTTCGAGTAAAGATGTGCTAGAGAGAGCAAGGTTGTGTTTTAGAGGCGTGGAACGTGACTGCAACATTCAGTGGTGGTTGGTGACGTCATTGAAGGCATAGGAATTATTAATGTGTATTCAAATTCAAATGTGTACCGTAGGACATAATTATTAATATACATCTGTTCAAAATGTTACTCCGGTATTATTTGCTTTTAGAATTATAAAAAATGTAATTAAACATATATTTATTAGGGCTAATATGCTTGTATTTCAAAGGAAGGCTAAATATTATATGGTTTTACATTGTTGGAACAATTAGAGACGCTTGTCCGACTAATCAAGGTTCCACTAGGGCATTGGCTAACTGCTGACCATTCCAGAGCCACAACCCACAACAGTTGGCTGACTCCAATGTATCCATTTGCAGCTAAGTGAACAGACTCAGCGCGGTGTATGAAAACATTCCCAAAGCTCTCGCCGTGCCCGGGAATCGAACCCAAGAACAGTTGATTGTGAGTCATCTGCGCTTAACCGTAATTATATATTATTTAATTCTTTCAAACAGATGTATAAATTAAATCGAAGATTCTTTAACAAATTTGGTGACCTTTGATGGCTGAATAAGGCCACCACGATGCCTCAGTGACCAACAAGCAAGTACCGGCAGTCAAATATAGTCCGATACAAAAACAATAAACCTAGTGTATATATACAACGCAAGTTCAATAAACAACTTTGTTATTATTTATTATTCAACTTTAGTTATTATTTATTTATTCAACTTTGTTATTACGAGGGGACGTAACAAAGTTACGCTCCCTCACTATCTGGTTGACTTGGGAGGTCGCTGAGGTGAGGAGCAGCTAGAGACACGTTTCTTTGTTAAATAATGTTTAAGTAAAATTATATATAAAAATTCTTAACACTAAGAGATAGTGTTGGATAAATTTATGTAAAAGTAATCTTGATTAGTTATATTTTGAAACGCCTTATTTATTTTACTTAAAAATTTATAACAATTAAGTTGTTGCAAATTAAAACCTAAATGTAAGTATATTCTATAATCAGATTTTACTACAAAAATTCTAATGTGTAAATAAAGACTAACATTATATGTTCAGGACAAGTCAACTACGTATAGTAATCAAAGACTCTAATTATCTAATACATAATCAGGATACTCTAGAGAGCGTTAAATGAATTGAGATAAAAATAGTTGATTCTAGATAGCATTATCTAAACAGCATTAGAATCAATAAGCCTGAATAACCCTCCAGAAGTCAATAGGTCTTGAAAACCCTCCAGAAGTCAATAGGCCTTGAAAACCATCCAGAAGTCAATAGGCTTTGATAACCATCCAGAAGTCAATAGGCCTTGATAACCCTCCAGACGTTAACAGGCCTTAATAACCCTCCAGAAGTCAATAGGCTTTGATAATCCTCCAGAAGTCACTAGGCCTTGATAACCCTCCAGAGGCTGATAGACCTTAAGCCAACCAATTTCACAGTGTAGAATTACAATGTAAGATTACAATTGTCCTAAGTTAACAAATGGCTATTTAAGTCCGTAGACTGCATTTAAAGATTAGATAAAGATGGCATGAATTACTTTCTTCATTCTCGTGTTCTTGAGGATATCCTCATATTGCACCCAAAATTTGCCAGTGCAGGCTACTGAACATATGGCCCTGTATGACTAACCATCCTGCGAGGTGGGGACTTTTAGTATCACTGCTGCCTTATTCACTCTCGTGTTCATGATGATATCCTTATAAAACACCAAGAGTTTACCAGTGTAGACTACTGATCACATGCCTCTGTATGATTAACCATCCTGTGTGATGGGGATTTATAGCATCAAGTAGCTAGTTTTTTAAAACACTGTGCTGCCCTTCATATAGTCTAGGGCAGCTGCACAAATGCAGATGTACCTAAATGTGTTGATAACAAAAATAAACAAATACCAAGACTCAAAAGAGTCTTAGACGATTTAAGACTCCTCAGGAAAATGACAATAAACCTTTTCATGAAATATATTGGATGAAAGGCGAAAGTTTATTCTATCTTGGTGCTAGGATAACTGAGCATATCTCTAAGATCTAGTATATTAGAGCACAATCGGGATGTTAGAGAAACACAGGGGACACTGTCGACAGGTGACACTGGTGACACAGGTGACACTGATGACACTGGCGCTTGACGTGAAACGTAAACATTTTGGACATTTCTGTTATTTGCAGATATTTAAATTTCTCGAATAATTTGACAGCAAGTGTCATATCAACATTTGACAGCAGGTGTCATATCAACATTTGACAGCAGGTGTCATGTCAACATTTAACAGCAGGTGTCATGTCAACATTTGATAGCAGGTGTCATGTCAACATTTGACAGCAGGTGTCATGTCAACATTTGACAGCAGGTGTCATGTCCACACTTGACAGCAAGTGTCATATCAACATTTGACAGCAGGTGTCATGTCAACATTTAACAGCAGGTGTCATGTCAACATTTGAGAGCAGGTGTCATGTCAACATTTGACAGCAGGTGTCATGTCAACATTTGACAGCAGGTGTCATGTCAACACTTGACAGCAAGTGTCATATCAACATTTCACAGCAGGTGTCATGTCAACATTTGACAGCAAGTATCATGTCAACATTTGACGGGAGGTGTCATGTCAACATTTGACGGGAGGTGTCATGTCAACATTTGACGGGAGGTGTCATGTCAACATTTGACGGGAGGTGTCATGTCAACATTTGACAGCAGGCGGCAAGTTATGCCAGCCTTTTACAGCAGTTGGTAACACTTGTAACCGTCCGATGGAAGACGTGGCACTGAACACTCCACAGTCACAGTGTCAATGAGGCCATATCAGAGCACCTGCGCCACATGTGTGACACTTGCAGCTATTGTGTCTGTCATACTTTACTAACACCTGAGCAGCACTTGTCTAGCACTCGATGGAACAGATTAACGCCTCTCGCACTTAACTAACACCTGTTAAACGTGACTATAACATCTGTGACACATAACTAACACCTGTGGCAACGAGCAGACTTACCGTCCTGCAAGCGACCATGGCGGGAAGACACGAGAGTTATAAACAAGTAGAAGTCACCAGTGACGCAGATGACAACAGCTGAGTAGAAGGTTCGGCAGGTGATACGTTCACAGATCAGGAGCGAGAGAGAGAAGCGGCTGTAGGGATGTGTTCACTGGTCAGGCCCCTCTGTGGAGTGTGCCTCTCATGTGCCAGTCAGGTTTTTATACCCCGAGGCAATGATGTGGGTGGCTGAGCATCCCCCCCCTCCATCATCTCCCCTCCCTACTCCCTCTCCCAGCATCCTCTAGTTTTTTCCGACTAGCGCCTGAATTGCGTACATGAAAACAACATCATCATTTTCAACATTTTCATGAGGCCAGGAGGCCGGCGGGTCAGGAGATCAAGCGGTTGTTTATGGGACTATAGGAAATGATATGAAGATGGGTCATCTGCAGAGGTGGAGGGATGGCGTTATGGGTAAGTAGTCATGTTCGATGGAGCTCCTGGTAACCGGCTATTCAAGGTCCCAATTTTACCCATGTGTACGTAATTCATGGGTTATTTGCTCCCTTGGGAAGCCCCCTGAACTCGTGGTCGTTTGAATACGTTTTCGCTTTTGAAAAGATGAAAAGGTTTTCATGGCAGACTGTTACAAACATTTCAAATTTTGCTACTGTTATGAATAAATAACTTATGATCAGCACTAAAGGCAGGGTTCAGCAACAGCAGGAATTTTATTAGTCTATGGTCTTCGTTAAGAGTAATGGGAAAATCATGCAAACTTTGGTTGAATTCCGTTCATTGGTGTTGGAATGCATTATAGTCTTATTAATTGAAATTGGGATAAATAACTGGCACTCTAATGTATAATTGCATAAGGGATTGAGTCACTATTGTGTCGCGAGCACCACGCACCCTAACAATGTTGTTATTACATAATGAAGTCACAATAGGTTGACACGCTTGTGTGTTTCGATCTGTGTTTCCACCGCCATGCTCCAAAGATTTTCTCAAAGGTGTTGTTACTGCCTCTTGCTAAACCCGGCTGGAATAAGTTGTCAAGAAAGCAACTACCAGCCGGCAATCTTCTCCTGGAATGCACTAACCTACCTGCGTCTCCTCAGGGTCTGGACCTTCAGTGGGCGGTGTAACTGACTCACTTCGTAATGTTAGTAATTAGTCAGAAGTCAACGTCACGACCGTCTCTTAAACTAAGATAAACAGTCTCCGGAGCAGTTTTCTTGTAGACACCTCTACGTCAGCAGTTGTATTTCTATACAGCTCTAATAGTGGTGCAGCAGTCGTTTAAAATTCTTACAACCATAGTTTCAATCCACTTCTCGGCGTATATATTCTTAAATCAGTAAGCTTTTGTAATGGTCTTAATGACCCACTAGAGTAGTTTCATAGGCTTCAAGCCCAACACCAAACCTTCAGTACCTCGTATTACATCTTTTCTGGTTAACTCGTTTAACAACAAGGATAACAGACGAAAATATTTTGCAACACAGAGCTAACACATTAACTGAGACGCAGCAGTCAGCCGGCTGATGCAGGACAAGGGAAGGTGGAGTACCATTCTAGGTTCATATCCTGGCCGGGGAGGATTGACTAGGCGCCAATCCTTAACTGTACGTCTCTGTTCACCCAGTAGTGAATGGGTATACCTGGTTGTTAAACGATTTGGCGGGTCGTATTCCAGGGAAAATTAAGATTAAGTATTTGCCCGAAACGCTATGCGTACTAATGGCTGTACAAGAATGTACTGTAAATGTAAGTCTTCCAGCACCTCGCTTCCAGCTTCACCAATGACGAATTAACAGTCGATGTCAGAGCCGTTCCTCAGACTGAGGATTTTATGTAATGTTGGGGCGAGTCCTCTTCTATAGGTAGTGAACGTTTGGTTCTATTGCGTCTTTTATCGAGAACATCGTCATGGTACGATGATCTGACAAGTGTTGACTGGAACAAATATTAGTGCTTGACTTAAATTACTGAGTACAACATGTTCTTGTACTCAGAAGTTGGCAGCTTAGAGTGACAAAGGCAGTACTTTTGGCCCGGGCTTAGTGCTTATCAGCCTCTGGAAGGTTAGACAGCCACAGTTGCCTACTGATCAACCAAGGAAGATGACCTTAGTCTTGAACACAATAAAGTAAACTTTGTTTATACACAGATAGGCAATATACAGTTGTAGTTGTTTTAGATTCAGCTACTCGGAATAAAAAGTTCTATGTAGCACGGGCTATGGTGAATCCTTACAATATACAGTTGTATAACTCGGTGTATGTATGCCTGTGGTCCGTAGCACATGGTTAGTTTGGTGTTGGGCTTAATGGCAATCATCTTACGGAGGGTTATCATGGCAACACATTAGCGTACTGACCACCCACCAAGTATACCATAGATGTGGTATAGTATAGTTCTAGACATAATATATTGGGTCCAGAATTAAAGTAAACTTAAGTGTATATACACAGAGAAGCAGGTAACACCTCTGGGGTATAGATATTCAGGGTTGCCAAAAGTAGTTTAATGAATGTAAAAAGTTATTACCTAAAAAGTACCAGATTTTCCGTTTAACGTTCAAATAAGAATTATATTTATAAAAGTTGATCAGTTTTAGAGTTTGATGTAATAAATTCGTATTTTTTTTTCTGTTTTAGGGCCTTATTATACGTGTAATTCTCCCTTGTATTTCATATTCACAGTATTTACAAAATGCTTTACTCTGGCCTCCTTACTTTTAACGATCCACGCACAAAATCATTTATCAAGCAATATTTTGTTTGACACATTGTGTTCACACTTGACTTTTGTAATTATTTTCTTCTTAGGAGTCGTCACTGACCCACCCGCATCGTTGTCACTATCACAGTTTTGGCTTCGTTTCTCACTCATTGTGATGGAGTTTAAAACATCAACCTCACAATAAACAAGCACCTCTCATCAAAGTTCGCAGTCGACTGGTCGCAGCGCAGGAGTGTGACGTCGTGCCTCACTGTTGCACCACGTCCAGTTCTTGTCGACAACTGCACGGGATCATTACTGGTACAGATTCACAGAACAAGTATCACTGGAATTCAACAATAAAATTTATGAATGAAAAATTGGGAAAACTAATAAAATCATGATATTAGTTGTTGTATTTAAATATACTAAATTTTTAATCTTGATTTTGTGAAAATATTGTATAAAACCGTAGAGCAAGAAATGCACCAAAATTGGTACGAACGGTTTGTACAGCGTTGCCGTAAAGCGTTCAGTAGCTCTAATCTTCAACGACACAAAAATGGACATTCACGTTGATATTCCAGATTCCTGCTGACTTGCTGTTGAATTCCAGAAGTGAGTATAAAATGGGTTGTGAACAGTGTCTAACGCTGACTATGGTAATTTACATTTAACCTTTTCCTCATCCCGAAGTCTTGTTAATCTTACACAACAAACGTTTTAACTGATGACCAGGTCTGCTTAAGACTGGTTCCTCGCGTAATCCTGCCTGCATCAGTCCGACTTATAGGTTTATAAACAAGTGAAGGCTCCATAATGATCACAGAACACTGAGGTTGAGTGCCCTAACTCTGTGACTTCGAACAGGCTAGTGATGTGCACTCACAAGCTCACTGATAGGCTTGACTGACATCACAGGTCTCCTCCCATTGGCTTTACGCTGTCACGTGACCTTCAAGGCAGTGTCGACAATAATGACATCAGAGAGTTCGATCAGGGGCCATCTTCTCTAACATTAAACAGTGAAACACAAAAGCAACGTAATATCATAACACGCGTTTACACATCCGACCACAAATAGAATATTTCCTAGCAGACATTCATGCTGATAATGGACAAGTATGAGTCAAAGGATGTTGGGCAATGTTGTTGAGCAGCACAATGCTCAGATGTACTGCGATATCGTAGAAGGTGACACAGTATGATGTACTGAGACATCATAGAATATATCACATGTTGGTGAGGGTGTGATGAGCTGCGGTATTGTGGAAATTCATAATATGATGAATTCTGGTATCGTTGAAATTCATAGTATGATGATCTGCAGTATCGCAGAAGTCCACATTATATTGTCCTACAGTATCGTAGAAGTTTATGTTATGTTGTCCTACAGTATCGTAGAAGTTCATGTTATGTTGTCCTACAGTATCGTAGAAGTTTATGTTATGTTGTCCTACAGTATCGTAGAAGTTTATGTTATGTTGTCCTACAGTATCGTAGAAGTTTATGTTATGTTGTCCTACAGTATCGTAGAAGTTTATGTTATGTTGTCCTACAGTATCGTAGAAGTTCGTCTGTCTACGAGGAAAGTAATTGAGAATACTTCACAGTGCAAGTTCTGTGAGAGGGAGACGCCGGGGTGGGCGTAGGGGGGGTGGGGGTGTTAGCGCAACACACAGGATAATTGATCACGGAGTATCCTCAAGGGTTTTCCTCGTCGACTGTTGGGTTGATTGGGGTAGGCCTATGTGATTGATGATGTAGGCGCAGTGATTAAGAGTGAAGGGGTCGTTTAATGGTGTAGGGTAGGTTGATGGTGTAGGGTATATGTTGATGATGTAAGGGTCGTTGAGAGTGTTGGAGTGGTTGAGGGTGTAGGTCTGATTGAGGGTATAGGGGTTGCTGCGTGTGTAGGGGCTGTAGAGGGTGTAGGGGAGCGGGTAGGGGCTGGTGTGGGGTGTAAGAGAGGATGGTGAGTGCGTAGAGGCGGGTGAGGGTGTCGGGAGAGGTGTGGGGGAAGCCAAGGGTGGAGCGTGTGAAGAGACGAGACAAGGGCTTCATAAGAGGTTGGGATTCTCCACCACTCTACGTGTGTTGCCCTACCGCCTGATCGCCTGCAGGGATCCCCACAACTCCTGAAACTTGTGCTATTAAAAAGACCAACTTGATAACCCAACAGCGCTTGCTTTACTTAACAATGACTACGAGCGGTGAGGTTTAGCTCGTGGCGTTCAGGTCTCACGTCGAATTTGTTCTTCTAGTGGTGGTGGGACGGAGGTGGCTTCCACAACTTCTTCCTTCAGTGTGTTCCCCTAGTTGTATTCACCTAGTTGTGCTTGCGGGGGTTGAGCTTTGCTCTTTCGGCCCGTCTCTCAACAATCAACTTAGGTGTTGATTGGTGGAACAAGAACAGGTGTTGTTGGGACAACGACCCTGTTGGGTCAACAGGGTCAACAAGTGGAACACAACAAGTGTGATCCACTTGTTGACCACCCGTACAGGGTACGAGGATTTCCTTACATTTCCTCGACTCACTGGTGTTTCCAGCTCCCACCTGTGTCCTCTTGTCCTGCTTTCCCTCACGTTAAAGAGGTTGTCCTTGTCCACCTCTGTTATGTTAGATCCGCCCGAGTGAGAATAATTTAAGTCCTATTATTTGACAGGTTTTCTACAAATCCCTTCTGGATTCCGGAGACAGCGAGACACACACACATGGACCCGGGTTTGATTCCCGGGTCCATGTTCACCCAGAAGCAATTGGACAGTTTCTGTCATCTGATTCTTCTCTCCAGCTAACAGTGAATAGGCACCTTGGAGTTAGACAGCTGTTAGGGGCTGCTTCCTGGGGATATGTGTGTGTGTGTGTGTGTGTGTGTGTGTGTGTGTGTGTGTGTGTGTGTGTGTGTGTGTGTGTGTGTGTGTGTGTGTTTGTGCATTTACTAGTTGTGTTTACTATTCTGTCCATAGAATCGAGCTATTAGCTCTTGGACCCCACCTTTATAACCATTCTATTTTTCCTCTATTATGTCTACTTCATATATTTCTCTCTAACACACGCACACACACACACACACACACACACACACACACACACACACACACACACACACACACACACACACACACACACACACACACACACACACACACACACACACACACACACACACACAACTAGGTGAGTACACACACACACACACACACACACACACACACACACACACACACACACACACACACACACACACACACACACACACACACACACACACACACACACACACACACACACACACACACACACATACACACACACACACACACACACACACACACACACACACACACACACACACACACACACACACACACACACACAACTAGGTGAGTACACACAAACAAACACACACACACACACACACACACACACACACACACACACACACACATACACACACACACACACACACACACACACACACACACACACACACACACACACACACACACACACACACACACACACACACACACACACAAATATCTGCAGGAAGCAGCCCGTAGCAGCTGTCTGAATCCCAGGTACCTATTTACTGCTAGATGAACAGGTGCATCAGGGTGAAAGAAACTTTGCCTATTTGCTTCCGCCTCCGCCGGGAATCGAACCCGGGCACTACGACTACGTAAGGACTACGACCCCCGAGCGCTATCCACTCAACCACGAGGCCCCTATGTGTGTGTGTGTGAGTGTGTGTGTGTGTGTGTGTGTGTGTGTGTGTGTGTGTGTGTGTGTGTGTGTGTGTGTGTGTGTGTGTGTGTGTGTGTGTGTGTGTATTCACTTGTGATTGCGGAGGTTGGGCTACGTCTCTATAGTTCAGCCTCTCAACTATCAATCAACTGGTGTACAGGTTCCTGACCCTACTGGGCTCTATCATACCTACACTTGCAACTGTGTATGGAGTCAGCCTCCACCACATCACTGCCTAATGCATTCCATTTGTTAACTACTCTGACACTGAAAATAACATTTTCTACAGTCTCTGTGGATCATTTGATTACTCAATTTCCACCTGTGTCCCCTTGCGCGAGTATTCCCTGTGTTAAATAAATAGAAGCACCTAAAAGAGCAGGTTATAGAGACCAACTCCATTCATAGCTTTAAAAGCAGGTATGACAGGGAAATATAGGTTAGGAGTCATTGAATTAGACAACCAACGGGTAGAAAATGCGGGGTCCAAGAGACAGAGCTCGATCCTGCAGGCACAAATAGGTGAGTCTACACACACACACACATACACAGTGACCTGTGACAGAGGGGACAAGGTGAACCACCAAGGGTATGGAGGATCAAGTGTGGGAGAGACTCATGCTGTACGCCAAGATTGATCATGCAAAGGGCGATGGAACGCTAGTATGATGTTGAGTTAAGTATGGAGCCCTTGATGGAGGCAGCAAAGTGCAGTGAGTCGTATACGCTCTTCCTCCATCCACCTTTTCCTTCTATCTTCTCTCCCACTCTCTGCACCTCTTCCATAATCCCTCCCTCCCTCCTTACCCCACACCACGGAGGAATAGATTACTTAACCCAGAGACGTTGCTTGGGTTGGGAGATCTTCTTCAAGCCGAAGGATAGAAGATAGACTATATGTGGTATCTCTGTTGTTCAGGTCCAGCCTATAGTTTGTCTTGAGGGACGAACCGGAAGACTTGGCTGGAGCTCCTATAGTGACTGTCACACATGTCTTAGCTGATGTCTTCCAGGTGATCAGTCAACAGTTGCCGGTGATTAATCAATAGTCACCAGCTATCAG